ACACACACACACACACACACACACACACACACACACACACACACACAGACTAAATCTGCTGTTGGCTGTGGGGTGATACCGCCAGGGACCCGTAAAGGGGTAAAGCGTGAAGCACAGAGCCTCGAGGGATCCCATTAAATCAACACACGCGCTGCATTTTTGCCATTTTTTTTTTTCCAACAACGATCAGCAATTTCAGTGTGATCCCTCCAGTCACCGGCAATCTAAAAGTGCTGCCACTCATAAGATCGGAGCGCGAGTGGGGGCTTCCCTCGGGACACCGAGGGTGTGTGTGCGGCTGCCCTCTGCTGCGCCCCAGAGTCCATCCAGAGACTTCAAGGAGGGCTTACAGAGTGCACTGTATCTCCCCAGCTGATTGCTTTAACATGAGGTGTTTACTATCTCCTCCTCCTGAGGGGACAACGCGACATGCTGATGGTCACCAGTTCTCAAGCTGTCTTTTATGGACTCGGGGTCACACTAAACTTTACATTTCTAAACACTACTGATTCTTTCGGAAGGCCTTTATTAAAAAGAACGTTGAACATATGCGGCAAATACAGTAGTTTTGTGTTTCATGCTGCATCACATTAAGATTATAAATTGCTCATAAGAAGGACCTCACCTAGAGCCACCTAACACCTTAACTTAAACTTTTACTTGGGAGTGTGGAAGGCAGCGAGGCGGACGCAGTCACTACTCAACCCACCCACCGCCTACAGACAATGTGTCGGATCAACGAGCAGACATGGTGCTCTCCAAATTCATTATTTAATAGAGGTGTATTGGTCGTGGCTTCAAAGATGCTGTGTATGAGCCGGTAAGAGGCATGGGCGAATGGAGGGGTTCCACTTCAGAAGAGTGGAAAGGTCTCCCAACTCCCGAGGTTGTAATTTAAAAGTCAGCCAGAAATCCGAGCAACGGCATACTGCACTTACCATTGGAGCAGCCTCTGGCTGTAATTATTGAAACCTCTCTCTGAAAAGTGAAACAAAAGAACACATTCAAAATGTTGGTGGTAGAGAAAGCACTACATAGGTGTATATGGTTAAAAAAAAATAATGAAAATTGCACATTAGGTTCTGCAAACACAGTGTTTTAGTGTGGATGAAGAAAAATACACAAAATGTTCATCACAATAAAATTGAGTTTGGAACATTATTGTGAAGGGTTCAATTAGGAAGCCAACAACTGTTCGCACAAAATAAAACTGCTCAGTCCTCGGAAATTATAATGAGAAGCAGAAATGCTGCATTCTGCATGAAAAGGGCATCGCAGCCGAGTCGAATCCATGATGCCGGTGAAAGATAATGCTAAAAGATATATAGCAAAAAACTGACAACAGGCAACGGACAAAGGTTCATTTCAGTCAGGCAGTGCTTCCCTTTATCTTCAGAGTCTTTCGAGAGAACTGATCTTAAAACTCAGTCATCTTCTTGTGCGTGTCGGCCTTCCGGTGCTCTCCCTGGACGGACAGCTCCTGGGTTTTCTGCTGGGCCAGCAGCCGGCGGGCCGCTGACAGCTTCTCCTCCAGCTGCTTCACTCTGGAGCTTTGCACACACAAAATAATGGATTAGGACGTGGGGGAGACAAGCTGCTTTGAGATGCACTTTGCAGAAGTGCATCTTATTTACAGTTTAACTCCCCCAAGCCATCTCAACATAGCAACTCAAGTGCTGTGTACGCATGCGTGTGTATGGGATTGCTAATGTGTACTCTCCATGGAGAAGGTTGCATTGGAATTAAGTGATCATTAATGACATCTTGGTTCAGTTTGCACATATAGAAATGTATAATAAACGAGCAAAACACAGGAGTGAGTACTGACCTGCCCGTCTGTCTGCTGAGTGACTCAGTCAGTTTCTGGATCTCCCTCTCGGTCTGGGACACCCTCTCAGCAGCCTGGAACACTTTCACATTCAGAGTCCTCTTGGTGCTCTTGCCCCCCCTGTAAGCCTCCACCCCTGTCGCCGCTGCGGCCGCCGCCGCCGCAGCAGCAGCAGCAGCGCCCTCCTCGGCGGGACCGGTGCTCTTGCCTTCCAGCTTCTGGTTGAGAAAGTCAAAGACGGTACGGCGCCCTCCGGTGGCGGCCCGGGGCTTCCTGCGTCTCTTTGGGCGGCCCGTCGGCGTGCCGTCTTGGGCGACCTTGCTCTGGGTGCGTCTCTGGGTGAGCTCGGCACACTGGTCCAGAGACCTGCGTTTGGGTAGAACCACGGCCATGACTGGCTCTACTCGACCCTCCTGCATCTTTCCCAAGCCTGAGAAAACAAAAGCGATTGAGTGAGGAAGAGGAACACGTGTACCCAACGGGGCAAAGTGTATGCAAAACAAACACCTGGCAACACAATGCACAATAGATTTAAACATACATTTTAAAAAGGTACAGTTAGGTTATACTTTTATGAACATTTAACATGTTAAATATGCTTTTTAATGACTCTTGTTGGCCTCTAATGTCTTGTCAACTGATGGAACCCAGCTCATTAGATTTAACTGTTCGATATCTGTATTGCATCTTTTGTGACCCATGACTGGAACTTGTATGTCCATCAACATGAGTGTTCTTTTGATCATTTGCCTCGTCATGAAGATGTATGAACGTGATAAGATGATTATAATGTCACTCAACGAAAGGGAGCTGTAATTCCGGTGTGCGGGTACTCATTGTGTTGCAATATTATTGATTTTTTTTTTTCTATTTAGGTGCAGCCGGCAGCCACAGTGCAGAGCCCGGGGACCAACTCAAGTTCTGAGGCGAAATGCTTTGGTCAAGGGCAGAGGCGCAAAGATTTTGTAAATCGAGCATGAATGTGTTTGGGGTAGGAGGAAACCCTGGGGAACCGTGAACACGGGCAGAACATGCAAAACGTGCCCCGGTCAGCCTTGTGGGGGGGGGGGGGGGGGGGGGGGCCCCCTTTTTTGTGGGGGGGGGAAAAAAAAGCCGGCGCACAGGGGGGTTCGA